CCGCGCCGTCTCGACCACCAAGACCACTTTTCCTCCCTCTCCTCCCACCTCGTCTAGCCGCCCCCGCTTGCCGCCCGAACCCACGAGGAAAGCGTCATACTGGGTTTCACCAAACACCACAAACGGACGACGACAAACCGATCGCCTAATCACTCCCGTCCGGCCCCTTTCGCCCTGTCTTACTCTCTTGTCCGCACAGACAACCGACCATCGACGGCCGAGCCTCCCTGCGTGCCCCTCCCTCTCATCCACTGTCAAGCTGCACTTTTCGCCATTCTCAGCGGGGGCCCCGGACCAGTTCCTCGATAACAACAACAGCAACATGGACACCGTGGTGATGGATCACGATCAAACCATTAGCCCAAACGAGGCTCAGTTTCCCCATAGCATTCCAGAAGACAACATGGGTGGCCTCGAAGACTCACCCCAGATAACACCCGACCAGAACGGCTTCCCAGATCGCCATTATCAACAAAACTTTGACCAGAACCTCAACAGCTCACCACGCTCACCACGCTCATATTCGCAACACGACAACTTCGACACAGAACGATATGCCACACCACCAGCAAACCAGGCTTCGATATCACGACCGCCCTCGGGTCTCGGAGGCCAGAACCCATCCCAGCCCGCAGAACACAGCTCTAGGACAGCCGCCGGTGCGAGTTCGAGCGAGCAGGCCAACGGGCGCAATCATGTCGTGATCAAGGTCGGCATGGTCGGCGATGCACAGATTGGAAAGACAAGTTTGATGGTCAAGTACGTCGAAGGCAGCTGGGACGAAGACTACATCCAGACTCTGGGCGTCAACTTCATGGAAAAGACCATCAGCATCCGCAATACCGAGATCACCTTCAGCATCTGGGATCTTGGCGGCCAACGCGAGTTCGTCAATATGTTGCCGCTCGTGTGTAACGATGCCGTGGCCATCCTGTTCATGTTCGACCTGACCCGCAAGAGCACGTTGAACAGCATCAAGGAGTGGTATCGCCAGGGGCGAGGATTCAACAAGACGGCCATTCCCGTCCTCGTAGGCACAAAGTACGATCACTTTGTGAACCTGTCGCGGGAGGAGCAGGAGGAAATCTCCAACCAGGTAGGTTCATGGGTCCGTATACGGCAAAGTTCCTGCTTGCTGACATTACTTTTCCAGGCTCGACGATTCGCCAAGGCTATGCGTGCGGCACTGATCTTTAGCAGCACGAGTCACAGCATCAATGTCCAAAAGGTAGGTCGCACTTTTTATCGTGATTGGTGCAGAGTCTGACTGTCTCGCAGATCTTCAAGATCGTACTATCCAAAGCTTTCGACCTAAAATGCACCATTCCCGAAATTAGCAATGTTGGTGAACCACTTCTCCTGTATCAGTCTGTATAGGCCGATGAGTAGACTCAACTCTGGCAATCGCCTTCGCGACAACTGTGCGCGCGGCCTCCTCCGACGACCTGCAACTTACATTAATATCCCTGGCTGGCGACGGAGCGACGGCAATGTCGAGTACTTGTCACAGTCACTCGGCTGTGACAGAGGAGATCCGACCAACGGACTACCGAGATACCGGCCTCGTTGCACATATTCGCTTTATAACCCATATGCTCAGACCTCAACCAGGCAGCTCCTCGCATCGGCACAGAAGCAATCTGTGACCTATGGGTTTGTTCTTCAGCAAATCAAGCACATCGGAGGAAGGTAGATGGGCGCGGGTGGCCTAAAAAAACAAGACATTCATGGCCTTTGGAGTCCGTTGTAAGAAACGACCGGTTCGGGACGGATCATGTCAAGTGGACATATTGATCCGATAAAGATGGTGGGGAAGGACATTCTATACCAGGAACACAGAGCACAAGGAATACGTGGGGTGTCCCCTTGGTCATTCGGGCGTGGGACCGTCCCCGGTACAGGTAGAAAGGGACTGGATGTTTATTCTTTGGTTGTATGTGTTTTAATTCCCTGTTGACAGTCAACAAATCGATATTTCCCTGTACCCTCTTCGCATTTCCCTTTCTCTGAGCCGGTATCATGGAGCACTACCCACCACTACCTGACCAAAAGCCGCGACATCAGCCATCCCAGGTTCTCGCCTCGAGACAGACAGCGTGTATCTTCCGGCATCTTGTTTAATCTGACTACTGTGCATTTATCAACTTGGCAAATGCAGATAGCCATGGCAGCTGTATATGCCACTCTCCCGCTTCCCTACGCAGAACCCATCGCCGACCAAATGTGACCGGGATCGAGACATGAAATCGTCCAAGGTCAGCCTCATCTTCCATGAGCGAAAGAGCTCAAAGGCCAGGTCCAGGAATGACGTAAATTGCAGGTCTAGGTCCAACAACGAGCTCGGTTTCCCACAAGCCAGTGTTCTTCCCAATATGATTATCGTACTCCCGCTCGCGGATGTCGCAGTAGACAATGGAACAGGCATACGCAATCTTGAAACCGTACCTGATCCTCACCCCCGGATGCCAGAGCTAGCCAGAGATTTTCATCCTTCTCCTTGCGGCTGACACATTGCATGCGAGGACAATGCGAGGTTGTCAGAAGTTCGTCCCCGTCCACCCTGCTCGTGGTCCGTTACCTCGTGCCCGGCCACCTCAGACGCCGCGCAATGGCTGGCCGAGGATAGTCAATCGCGTCCAACCCTCCATTGTCCCTTGGGGCTGGAGCTCCTCGTACGCGTCCCACATGAACAAGCATGGTGCTTTATCTGTCAAGTAATTATGATCCATCAACCTGCCACCAGCGAATGCCCGGCAGCCAACAACAATGCCGAATTCATCACCGAGAACACCAACTCTGCCGGCTCATCAAGCGTGTCCAATGGGTTTCCGACAATGTGGATTATTGGAAATTTGGCGCTCTTGGAAACAGTTTCTTTGGCCGCCCAAGCCGTGGCGCTACGACGTGACCAAGGTATCGTCCTCTGGAGCTAAGGAGACACTGCAACTCGAAGGCGTCGGACAGCTTCCAGGGACTTTGACATCGTTTGGAAAACGAAGCTCTTCAAGCGGCCTTTTCCTCCGAACTGACGAATCCCAGCCTCACCCCCAGTCTAGTCCTCAGACGTCAGAAAAAGGTAGACAAGGTTAAAAGCGCCCACGATCACATCATCGCATCCATCTGAGACATTCCCCCTTCCCAAACCACGGCCATCTCGACCAGCAGAAGAAAATAGAAAGGTCCCAGTCAGTTCACCATACCGACCGAGATCATGAAGTCCTCCATCGCCTTCTGCTCCGCAGCCATCTTCCGCCTGGCACTCGGCCAGAGCACCGCAGGGTCGGGCACGACGTTCTGGCAAGCCGCGCAACCATCGAGCACCGGAGCTCCGAGCACTTGGACTCCGAGTACGCCGGCTCCTCCGGGTCAGGCGCTGTGCGGGCAAGGGTTCACTTATTGCGGGTATATCTTAAGGGACCACCAGAGTGAGTTTTAACCCTGATGAAACTTCGGGGTTTATTTACTTTCTCTTGGGCCTCTTGTCGCTCTCTCTTCATCTTCATTTTCAACTTTCCCTAACCGTCTCTTAAAATTTTCTTGCCTTCTTCTCACTATCTTTTTAGCTCGTCTTTACTCTCTCCTCACTCTCTCCTTACCCTCCATTCGCTTTCTCTTTACTTCCTTTTTACTTTCTTTCTAACCACTCTTCGCCCTCTCTCTTCACCCTCTCTTCACCCTCTCTTTACTTTCTTCTTACTTCATCCTTACCCTGAATTCATTTTGAATTCACCCCAGGTTCAGATTCCGTTTATCCTGAATTCGCATTCCTCCTCCGTTTCCTTTTCTTCCCCCACGTTCTAATCCCTAGGACTTTCTTATTCGTTTCTTCCTACGCGCACCTCTTCTCTCTATTGTAATTACCAATATCCTATCTACCACGTTCACTCCGACCCTAACTAACTTCCCCTCTTCTTCTTCCTTAGACTTCAAAGAAGAAGACATAGTCAAAGCCTACTGCGCCGCCGCCAAAGGAAACTGCGCAAACGGCAAAACCAAAACCGACCCCATCCAAGGCCTCTACCTGCCTTCCCGCCAACGCCAACCCCAAGGAAGAAACTGCCTCTTCCATGTCTCAATCCCAATCCCAGTCGCCGAACCCGCACTACGACTCCTCTTCTTCCTCAGGAAAGTCCATCTCCGGCCTCTCCCGCTTCTTCAGCATCCTATCCTCGCGCACGCACATGGGCCAGAACCATGCTGCTGCCGGTCATGAGCAGAACATGAACATGAACGTGGATGGGAATGGAAATGGAAAGATGATGCATGCTAGACAGGCACCAAGCAACGCCACGAACGCAGGAAATGATGGCGGTTCTTGCAATACGTTGGCTACGGCGGGCAACAGGATTGAGCTACTGTGTGCTTGCGGAGGAAATTGTTTGAATCCTGTATCGGATCATATTGGACGGTGTGATGCTGCTTGTTAAGGTAGTGAGTGAGTGTCAACGTTAGGAACCCAAGTCTATTTCCAGGGCCTGGGAGTAAGGTAATGAGGAATCCAGATGTGGGAAGAGAGAGAGCAAAAGGCAGCGGTGCCGGCGGTGACCAAAATATTGTTTCTTTTCATGATTTCGAGTCTGTTCTTGATTTTCTTACCAGGTCGTCTTGTGGCGAGGGGGCTGTCTATAGACTACCTAAGTAGGCAATCCAGCAGTCATTTGATTATCTGTGTTTCCCTCCATCTTGGTTAGGCATGGCACTTGAATAACGTTGATGATGTAACAGACGTTCGCATGATGATATAGTTGTCTGCGTCTCAGTCGCTAGTGGAAGGACCATCTGACCTCCGGGAAGCCTTTCAATAACCACAAGGCCTCATTTAAGATGATGGGTAGCTGCCGAGATGTTATTATAATTCCCTATTGGTTGAATGACTATACGTTGTATCTTGTTTCCTTGAGGATCACAGGCAAGTTTCACTGTCTATATCGTGATAGTTACCAAACAAAGTGATCGTCATCGCATTCATGACCCAAAATGTATCTAATCCATCAAGACAACACCAACAAGCCATACCGAAGAAGCAGGATGCCATCATCTTGTTTGGTTTATCGGCTCAGGTCTTCCAAAGTTGTCAATGAGCACCAGATCTGGACACTCATGCTCCCCTCCTGCAGCAACTGTTTCCCGCATGCATCATGCAAGTCCGCGTTCATGCTCAAGACTCATCTCCCATAGGTGACAAAGTCCAAGACGGGCAAAGCAAGAGTCAAAGGTCAACACCAGGATGCTCATATCAAGCTTGTTATCTCCGTGGAGTTAGTGTGTCCACCAGAGTACCATCTGCTGTGGCATCTCCGAGCCCAAGACGGGATGGATTACAGTGAATGGTAACCCCCTTCCTTCACAGACGACGGCATAGCAAGAAACACCTGCAGGGGTGAGTGAGCAAGTACAATCGATTGACAATGGACCGGGGAAACGGACAGGTGACTATCTTCATCTTACCAACCAGCCCGAGCAGCAATCGCGATCCCTTGATACTTCAAGACTACACATCACTCAACACGGATAACACGCTTCCCTGCTTCCGTAGAGCAACCATAGGACTGTGCCAACCTTCTTCACCTTCACATCAACACAATTTTGGCCGCCAAAACAAGCTCTATGATGTCATCTTCTATTCCCGCAAAGAATCTCCAGTCACGATTGACTCTTCCAAATCATCCATGGACAACATTTTGATCACACGAGCAATTGGGTGAAGCTATAATTATCTGGGTAATGACTAACCCCGTTAACTGGCTGGTTTTATGACCGTTTGTGCTCCTGACTGATGTCAACGTCCATCTGTCTCTATCGTGGTCATCGGAGTGCCAAACCGACACCACCTTAGTATGACAGCAAGCTTATCCCCAAACAAGAAACACAAGGAAGCAAGTGACACAAAGCTATGATTAAGCAATAATCAAAGCATTCCGAACTTTTCATCCAGCCAAGCTATTTATCCCTCGAAAGTCATGAACAATAAGCAAGCAGGCAAGCAACTCCATGACATTACCGATGTATCCTGTTGTCCTGTTTCCCCAAACTCCGAAATGCGTTCCACATTTACTCTAACAAGTTTTCAGACAACTCTCAGATACTCCTAAACTCCTCCTCATCAATCATCCTCCCCAGAATCAGACTCTGAATGACCAGCTCATCACTGAGTGTCCTGATCTTTTTCAATGGCGGCTGTTTCTCCGCCACGGTTGGCTCGTAGACGTATCCAACGCTCTGCCTCTTTCTCTTCTTGCCCTTCTTGTCCTTTCCGGCACCACTCGCACTAGCACTGGCATTGCCGGCATCGCTCTCCCCTACCATAGCAGCAGGACCCGTGAACAGTTCCGCCCCATCGGTCTTCCCATCCACATAAACCCAATCATAGGGTTTCCCCTTGCCGTCTTCAGCTTCTTTCTCCGCCCTCTCCAGCTCTTTCTTTGCTTCATCCACATTTCCCACCCTCCGCAACTCCGCTCCCAAGACTCTAGCAAGGAAAACATAAGCCATCTTCCTCCCTTCCTCTGCCTTCTCCCTATCCTTCTCCTTCTGCGTCCTTCTCCCCTTTTTGTCTCCGCCCGTGCTCACGACGAGAAGAATCCTGCTGCCGCCCAACCAGCATCCCCTTCTCGCTACCGTCTCCACGAGCTTTGCAGTGCTGGCATCGTAGGGCTGCAAGTTACGTGAGAGAATGGCGTCTCCTAAGAAGGCGGACTGTCCAGCGGCAAGAAGGTAGGGCGACCAGTCGATTATCGAGTTGGAAGAGAGACAAGTGATGACCCAGCGAGATGCGAGGATGGGAAGTCCGAGCGCGAGGGCTTGCATGTATTTGACTTTGCGGGAGTGGCCGTCGGCTATAAGGGCCGTGAAGCCGGTGTCTCGGCCGATGTTGTTGAGGAGTAGCTTGGGTGGTTCGTCCGACGGTGACGGATTGTGAGTCTTGTCTTTGGACGAGGAGGCGGCAGGTTGGACGAGAATGGGCTCAAACAACTCGTCGAATCCGTTGTCGAGTATCCGACCACCTGCTTGCTTGATGCGTTTTTCAATGTTGGCCGCTGTTTCCATGCGTGCATTGTGCTGCTCCGGATTCTCGCCCGGTCGCTTCGACTGGAACGATATCGCAAATGCCATGCCATCGAAGATCTTCGTCCCACGTTGAGCGGGAGCAGTCATGGATGATATCCTGTTGGGTTTGAGCAAGGAACTTCGAGACATACGAACGCTCTGATCGAACGTGGGTATCGTGGCTCCAGAGGCTGAAAGCTCATCGGCAGAACTGGAGGGTCGCCTCTGGGTTCGTGCCGATTGGCGCAGGCTCTCCGTTGAACTGGTCTTTGGGAGTGTGGGCAGCCGTGGAGCAGCGTCACGACGGCGGCCATTCATGGGCGCCGGAGATGAACTACTAAGACCGGGCCTGGTGAAACTGGCCGAGGGTTCCCTTGCCGCCACCGCACTGGATGGCATGACGGGGGTGGAGGAGAGCTTCGATAGATCCGAGGTTGTCTGAACAGCGGCATCGACGGCAGACGATGTCAGTCTGGCCGTGGCTGTCCTCATTGTGCTCGATGTCGGTATTCTTGCTGCCTGATCTGCAGAGGTCGATACCCGCTTCTTCCTAGTTCTTCTTTCGAACACTGGTGGCGACGAAGAAGGAATTGTATCGGAGGGTGCTGGTAAGGCGGGGAGTCGAGAGGACGAAGGAGGTTCCAGCACCGGTTCCTCCTCAATCGTGTTATCGGCTGGACCCGGTGTAGGGACCGCGCCTGCACCGGACGTATCAGCTCCCGATATCTCGTGAACTGACGAATGAGGCCTCGGTGCTGGACGCTGGCTTGGCCGTGGGACCTTGAAGACGGCGTCTGGCTTCGGTGCTGGATCCTCATGTGGCCCAGACTGCGTAGACTTATCATCGACTGCATGCACCGCAGCAGGCTTAACCCCTTGCCCCCGAGATTCTTCTCCCGTATTTGGTATTGTTGGTTCCTCATCCCCATGCCCCGGCTCTTGCGTTGCCGGTTTTGCTTTGCCACGCCTGTTCTTGTTAGATGACGGGATCTCAATATCATCCGACTTGGCCACCCGCGGAAGCCGTATCTCAGTAAGTTGTTCCAACGCAGCCTTTTTTCTCAACTTTGCCTTTCCACGCCTGAAAATGGATGTCTTTGTGTCTTCATCGTTCTGAGGGCCTGGAGGATCTGATCCCGTTACCGAACTTGACCATCGCTCCTGAGATTTGTCCACCGGCTCATAACTGGCAAAGGGACCTTGTGCAACCTTCTTCTCCTTCTTGGGTAGCTTTGTTTGCGGCGATTCCGGGATCACCATGTCGTCTTCCAAGGCACCGGGGCCAGGACTCACGATCCTTCGTTGTGTTGCCCTCGGTGGAGGCGCATTTGGCAAGGCAGCTGGGCTTGATGGTACATTTTGCGTCGGGGATGAGCGCAGACCCCGGGCCCGCAGTGGTGACGAGACAGCTAAGTTCGGTGATACTGTGTGCTGCATGAAATCGGACGGGGAAGGGCGTGAAGAGGTCGGACTAGCGAGTGCTTTCGCGGCAGAAGAAAACTGTGTAGCTCCGAATAGCTGCGAGGGACCCAACAGCTGCGATTTGCCTTGGCGGAACGGATTATTATCTGAGATTGGAGTCTCGGGAACCTGTTGGGCAGGCGAGGCCTGTTGTTTTTGCGAGTGCATGTTGCGCATGCGCGCAATGCTGCCAAAGTCAACGCGACCTGACCCATCTTGGGTCGTGGATGTAGTCTTGTCAGTGGCGGGGGTGTCGAGAAGTCGTGATGCTCGCGGGTCGGGAACGGTTGTTAGAATTGAGGCTGGTTCCAAAGCAGGACTGCTTGCATCAAGTTTTGGTGAGCTTCGAAGAGTATCTCTCGTATTTGCCTGTGAAGCTGCAGCAACATATCTCTCGTAGACTCTCCCGCCATTTGACTGTGTTGTATCGTTGGAATGGACCGAAGGCTGCGTTTCGACCTGTTTTTGTTCCTCTGCCTTTTTCGCCTCTTCCGCTCGCAACTGTTTCTCCCTTTCCCGTTCCTTCTTTTTCTCCTGCCTTTCCTTCTCCTCCGCCTCCCACTGAGCGGCCACGAAAAAGAGTTCAGACGGCTTGAACCATGACACCTTTGGCTTTTGTGCTTCCTCGCGTTTTCGTTTCTGTTCCGCTTCTTTCCGGGCCTTCCACTCGCGGTACGCGTCCATATCGAGCGGCTTGTTTTCGATCAGATCGGCTGGTCGAGAGTTTCGGATCTGTGAATTTGTCTGTGTCAGCGCAGCCTTTGCCACTTGCGCAACCGTATTTCGCGTACCCTGTCCTCCTCCGACTGTGTCAGGGGGGGAAACAGGTCCTCATCCCTCTGTCTTCTCGATTTACTCATGGTCGGATGCTGCGCTGGGGTTGGTTTCGAGGAGGACGACTGATTTGAGGTTGTTGACGGCGGGCGGATGTTGTTTGTCTGAGAAACACCAGAACGCCAAAGAGTTAGCAGGTCGTTGGCATTGAGGTAACCGGCAAGTGAGAGGTAATTGATGACGTACTTTTCCGGTGCCGTAGGTTTTCATGTAATCATCGAGGACAGCTTGGGTGTCGAGCGAACCGGTCGCGTCGTTGTCGCGGCTGTTCTTGAGCGCGTTTGACATGGTGACGCTCCAGTGGCCCAAGGCTCAACGCTAGTGTCGTAGTAGCTGCCGCCGACGGATGCATGCGCGCGGGGCAACCCTATCATTCGTCGTGTACAATTAGAGCGCACTGTGTTCGGACTGGGGAAAGTTGTAGGAAGATCGGGACAATTTTGAGTCTTGTCGCGCAATCATTTCAAGCTGGACTTTGCTGCTCAATTGGCTTCGTGCCTTGCTGGTTTGGCGACTGGCCATCAAGGTTGTTTCGGATAAAGCGAGATTGCATCAAGGGAAAGTTGAGGAGCACGGTGCGCGTGCGCGGTGAGAACGCGGTGTCACGTGTATCCAGAGGCGTCAATTCATCTTCCTGATGAGATAAAGGATGCGCGGCTTCATTCTCGCCCCATATTTGAGCCACATTGCAAGCCACATTCCATGCCACCCCCATGCCACCCCCATGCTCAACCCCACCGCGGAAGGTTTCGTCCCACTGGGCCCTGTCTTGGCAAGGGTCCCTTGAATTTTTATCAATCGGACCTGCGAGCAGTAAAGCAACCAAACTTTATCAACGAATCTCCAAGACAATAAGGGGCCCGACAATAAGCACAATGTCGTGACTCTCACTCACTTTCCACTGAAACACTGACCAGCATGGTCTCAAGCTCTACTCAAGCATCATCTTGTCGCCCTCAATCGCTGGGGTCGTGAGCATTCACCTCCAGCATTTATCAAGAGAAAATGTTGCAATGCAATTTTGTGATGTCATGTCGGCCTCAGCCTGGTTGCGTCATTCAACCACAGGACCGCGTGCATGTCAACATTGGTGCTTTCGGACAAAAAGAATCGTTTCTCGGCTTCCTTGTCTTGGTGCTGCAGTTACTGAGCCGACTCCTTGGCCAAAGCTTGAATGAACGGACCGCTCACGGAGATGTATCCGAACAGGTGGATCGGCCCGGGTCAAAAAGGCGTCTACCTTGACGGGATTTATCGTGGGAGCAGCACGATAAGAAGGAATGCATGAGAAACCACAGGGCAACACCAAGGGTGAATAAACTCGGCTCTTTCCAGACACGAAACGAGAAGTATGGCGTGCTCGATGCACCATGTCTGACGTGCATCACATAGCGTCCGGACAAGGGGAAAAAAGCGTGAAACCCCCAATGTTAGTATGGAAAGAACGCAGCAGAGGGTTCAGCAAACGGCAAGAATGTTCCGGCTAGTGTTCGCCTCCAATCTAGCCTGGCATCCTCGTGCATCGGATCTTCACGCAATCCCCTCCATCGGGTCCTCCGAAAGTAACCATATCATAGCCAGGTCCTTTTCCTTTGACAGCTACCTAGAAATTTCAACCTCATCTGCCATTTCCCTGGTCATCTCTACCGTTTTCATTATCCGATTCCGTATTCATTATAGAGATATGAGACGCTAGCTCTCGCTTTGCCATTTCAAACATCGTCTACCAACACACATTACATCGGCTCATCACCAATCTCACGAGTTAACCTGGCACATACTTCTGTCCAAGTCATGTCGGCCCGCAAGCCAAGTCCGCCTCCAGTCAACGGGAGGGATAAGTCCCGGATCGACGATGTCAATGCGAGTACAGCCTTTAAGGAGGATGTTCGCTCCGGTCTCTGGTCGTGGACCAAGCTCGACGATACCACCGCCGTCGGTCCTCGCATAGGCCCAGTTCTACATAGCGTTGCCGTCCCCAGCTCCGACAGCGACGACAGCATCGTCACGCCAGAACGCCAGCACGAACTTGAAAAGGGAAATGCCATCCAGTACCGCACATGCAGTTGGCAAAAGGTCTGGAGCATCCCGATCACCAATTGCCACATGGAGAGTCAAGAAACTAACCACCAAGCCAAAGACTGCCGCCCTGCTCTTTTCCGAGTACATTTGCCTGGCCATCATGAGCTTCCCGTGGTCATACAGTGTCTTGGGTCTGGTTCCTGGGTGGGTAACGATCCTCCGAAGCTTGGACCTCGATGTGAAGAAACGCGGCCGCTCACAATTCAACAGATTAATATTGACTGTAGTTGTTTGTTTGGTCGTGCTCTATACGTAAGCATCACCACGGGTTTCTGTCCCATCTGGCTACACATACTGACCCACCCATAGCTCGCTGGTCTTGTGGGAGTTTTGCCTCCGACATCCCGAGGTCCGGGATGTCTGTGACATTGGCCAAATGCTGTTCTGGAATAAGAATTGGGCTTGGTGGGCCACTGCCATCATGTTTCTGCTCAACAACACAGTAAGCCGGCTACTGGTGAAACGCGCAGAATGATAACTAACGGTCAACAGTTTATCCAGGGCTTGCATGTTGTTGTGGGCGCCGAATATCTCAATACCATGACCGGCACAGACCCGGGTATCGCTTGTCGGACTGTCAGCTTTGGCATCATTGTCGCACTTGTCTGCTGGCTCTGCTCACTCCCCCGAACATTCAACACCTTGTCCAAACTTGGAGTGTTCTCAGCATTCTTTACCCTCATTTCTGTTCTTCTCGCTGCTGTCTTCTCCGGCGCACAGAAACATCCAGCTGGCTATGACCCTCGTCCGTCATTCACGTCAGATGCCGGAGTAGAGTCAATCGGGGGCAACCCCATCGTGACCGCCTTTCCGGTCAAGACAGCGTCCTACATTGCCTGTTTCAATGCATTTCTCAATATCTCTTATACTTTCATCGGGCAAATCACACTACCCAGCTTCATCGCAGAGATGAGAGAGCCAAAGTGAGTGCTGCCGGTTTCCACGGCCCTGAGGTATAACTAACGAGCATACAGGGACTTTCCAAAGGCCTTATGGGCTTGTGCCATTGCTGAGGTTGTCCTGTTCAGTGTCGTCGGAGCTGTGATCTACGCATACACCGGAAACCAGTACATGACTGCGCCTGCCTTCGGCTCACTCCAAGAAACGTACAAGAAGGTTGCCTTCTCGTTCATGATTCCGACTATCATTTTCCTGGGTGTCCTGTACGCCTCGGTCTCGGCACGTTTCGTCTTCTTCCGCATCTTCAAGAACTCCAAACACAGGACCGAGCACACGATTACTGGATGGTCAACATGGGCGGCTATTCTTCGTGAGTGACACCCTTTCTCTCGAACAATCCCACTCTAATGTTATGCTGACACATGTCACAGTGACAACATGGATTGCCGCCTTCGTTATTGCAGAAGTCATCCCCTTCTTCTCTTCCCGTGAGTCCCCAAAGCAAACACCGTGTCCCGAACCAACGTATAACGAACTGACGCCAACATTAGTCCTTTCCCTCATGTCATCGCTCTTTGACAGCTTCTTCGGTTTTATCTTCTGGGGCGTTGCCTATTTCCGGATGCGTAAAGCCGACTCGAGAGCCGGCATTGCAAGGAAGAGAGGCATCGGCACCATCCTGCTGGGGGTAACTAACATCATCATTATCCTCGTTGGTTTCCTCTTTCTTGGATTTGGGAGCTATGCTAGCGTGTTGGGGATTTTGGAAGCCTACGATACAGGATCGGTCAGGAGCGTGTTTTCGTGTGCGAGTAATGGCCTTTGATGGGTTAATTCGTATTGGGACCGGCCCCACGAAGCGGGAAGTGTACAAAATCTTGCTTGCCAGCCGTCTACCAACATCGAGATGCTTGCCCGAGGGGTTTTGTTTGTGATACTTATGTAACCAGCGATCCTTGTCTATTTACTAGTGTTTTTCCACTTTCCACTTTCATCTTTCCCCTTCCCGTCCACCTCATGATACCTCGGCATGACGCAGCCCTCCGACATAACACGAAGATACACTGCCGTTTCCAACCGACACTCGACCACCAGTCTCAACTCTCAGCTCGACCTATCGTTCTCGACACTTTCCAGATTTTGATGTTATCACCACCATCGACTGACAGCGGCTCGTTGGAAGGCACTATTGTCAAACGAAAGAAGTCCCAATCGGCGGAAAAAACGCGGCAATGGGAAAGATCAAAGAACTATCCAGCTGGCCGCAAAATACTGTTATCAAAACCGAGACCATCTTTTGGTTCTCACAACCAACTGTGAAGATGGCTCGAGAACATACCAGCGCCACAAGTCTAAAAATGCGCCGAATCTCGCACGAGATGACATAGCGAGAGACGGATTCCACACCACCAAGCAACAATCATCACTGCGAACGCCATCACCATCGCCATCATTAGCATATTGAGGAATGTTAGGGCGACATTCATCGTAGTTAACCATGTGCTACAAGTACCTCAACGGCGAGTACGCGTGCAAGAAACTCAAGCGCTGTACCGAAAAGTACGAGCCGTTTATCGTCTACTGCCAAAATGCCAAGGAAGAAGGACAGTACTGCAAAGATGTCAAACCGATCCAGAAGCCAATCATTATCCCAGTCGAGTGCAGCCGCCACAACCAGGTACGACTAGACCAGTTCAAGAAGCTGTTCAACCGAATGTTCAAAGAAGATGTTATTCAGTGGGCGAAAGTCGGAATGCTTCCGAATTTCGACAAGGAACGGAAGGCCGCATTGACAGACATCTTCGAACCGACAGAGCTCTCTGAAGCATACGAAAGCGCGAAAGATACCTAGGCGAAAGGCTTCCATACCGCTATCTTGGTAGCCATCGAGACGCACATCGGCCAAAGCCTCGATGAACTGAAGCGCAAGTGGCTGACACGAGTCACCCCTGCTGCGTCCTCCTCCAGCACGACGGAGCCCAAAAGGGCAACGTGAAGCCACTTCGACATGGAATTAGCCGCACAGTTTCGGCAGGAAAGTTGGGTCATGTCATGACTGATTCACTTTTTTTTCGCGTGGACACAAGTGAGGAAGGAGCTATGTCGATGAGTTCGAGCGGGGAGAGGGAAGTGACGAAGTGAACGGCGTGAACGAAGACCAAGAAACATGGAAGTGGCAATGACGGAATTGCATGATACACGACGAGAAGGAGAAGACAAGCAAAGTGCGTGGGATTATGGAGATATGCAAGAAGTATCCATGTCTATATTGGCAACACCAAGCGTCCGAATAACACACAGCTGACCAAACCGTATGAAGACACCACGGGCGCTCACGTTTTCTTTTTTCCCGCGGACAGGCATTGCGTAAGTGGGACTGACGTACACAAGCATGCATCTTGCCATGAGTCTTACCGTGCTTCCAAAAGTCCAACGCGTTTGTTGATGTTTTATTATCCATAAAAAGGGGTTGTTTCCCAACCAAAGCCAGTCTCGCGCTTGATACCTGCCGCCAACGATGCTGGGAAGGAAAGACAGGCGCCACCTGAAAACGGACGCAACTATTGCAGATGGCAGTTGTTGTCCAAAGTCATGCACGGTTGCTACCTGCACATCAAGCTCCCATCTCTCCTCGAGTCAATCCATTTCAAGTCGGGGCTCGACAGTCTGTATATTCCCTTTTCACACTTCATTACACTATCATCCACACAAATTCATGGATATCGTTCTCTCGTTGCTACATACCTTACCAACAGACACCCATCGGAACGGTCTACCCACCTCGCCCGACATCCCCAAAACCAACGCAGTGGTTTTCTTCCGCATTTCACAACCGGTGCCATCATGTGCTTCAGCATCGACAACCCCATCCGGCCCTGCCCCCGAGGGTGCAAGAACAAAAGCAACCACAAACCGATCATAGTCGAGTGCGACGAAGCCTAGAAAGAAAGATACAACATCGACTACGACTGTGCCAATCTCATGCACATTGAGACACCCCTCAAAGTAACCATCTGCTGCCACGAACACCACAAGAGACGGCTCGAGAGCATAGCGGACAAACTCGGCGAAGCATGGGCGGAGCTCATCATTTCAAGAAAGGTCGAATTCATGACACAAGACATGGTGGACATGCAGCGTGCCGAGATTGACAGAGAATGGTGGATAGCCGCAAGGCTTGTGGACAATAACCTTGTAATCCAAGCGCTGGTTCACGAGTCGTTGACACACAACACGCCGTTTTATCATCCTTTCATGGCCAGCATATTTCGACAGGTGGAGCAGAGCCGCAAGAGTTTGATCCTTGCCGGCCTCATTCACGCAGAGCCCTTGCCGCCCTCGGCGCGGTCGAAAAGCAAAAAGGATGCCCCCGCTGAGGCTCAGCCCGGGCTCCGACAATCTCCATCGCGCCCGTCCCTAAAGGCATCCCATTCATATACCCGAGACCCACGTTTTGATTATTTTGATCTTTCCAACGACGACGAAGACTATGGTTTTGACGATGAGGAGACAGCGATTGCTATTAACCTCGATGACAATCTTCCCAGCAATGAAGAATTGGGAATCATTTCTTAATGTCGACGAGGAACAAACGGGCAATGTTACTCTTGTTCAAGGCTGGCGGCTTTCTGATTCTGCTCATTTCATGTCAATGCAAGCGTTGTGTGGTCGTGAAAGATGGAATAAGGTTGAAGCACAATGAATGCTTTTGTATTTGGGGGTAGAACTTTGAGCGCACCATGTTTAGGGATCTTTTTCTTTTGGTTTTGTTCCCAATCCTAGCGGACACATCATATCAGCGACACATCATACCTGTACCGCTATGATATATTCTCAAACACCACGTGTACCCCATGTTAATCTTCGCTTTATTTTTGACCTCAATGCTGTAACCATAAAACGTGCCCGTGCTTGAAATGCTCCACTGAAACTCGTCCACTTGTCTTCCAAGCATCACCCGGAGATGCTCACGAGATGCATCTGGCGTCCTCATATTTCTATCGTATTACCTATGTAGGTAGTATTTTCTGACCGTGCGTTCAACAATTCATCGCTGGTCTAGTGGTATGATTCTCGCTTAGGTTCAATCCTGAGCATTCTTGCGAGAGGTCCCGGGTTCAATCCCCGGGTGGCCCCAACTTTTTTTTTTTTCGTTTTTCTCCTTTCGTCCTCCTTGGATCCTTTTTTTTCCCTTTTCGTCCTGTCACTGAACCGGTCCCAAAGCAGACAAGCAACTCGCCAGCTGTTCACCTTGCAAACATCTCTCCGAACAATAAATGCTCCATCATATCCGCTCATTCCCGGATTTGGTTCTTGCCCACAACTTTCCTCAACGTCCCATTCACTCGATCACTGCCTGTCATGCAGTCACTCCATGGAACAACATGGCCGCGCCACTTTGCGTTCTGGGCTCTTGCCACCCTTCACCTGAAAAGCACAGTTCGTGCCGAGTGCGCACCAACAACATGGGATAATAGTGAATTCGAGACCACGGGACATTGCAGCGTTCCCAATCCCCTAGCCGCGACGTCGGCTGCTGTCCCCATTCCCGTCCCGACTAGCCATCTCATCAGCACCGGATATGTCACCCCGGGTGAAGTCAACTGTCGATACGACACTAATACGGAAGACATGGAGATAAACGAACATACTTGTACCGCGATAGCCGTAAGATATGGGATCACCCTCAAAGCCTTCTTCGTGTTGAATCCGGGACTACATTCCGACTGCGGAAACATTGAAGCCAATACCGATTATTGCGTGGCAGGCTGTAAGATTACTAGGGAACTTATACGCCAACGAGGGCTCTTTGAGACCATTTATTGGTAACAGACTAATGACACCCGATCATAGTCATCGAGCCCCTAAGAGCTTACGACGGTCTTTGCGGCCCCTCAAACAACAATGCTACGTGTCTCGGCATAAGAATGGGCCAGTGCTGCAATGCAAACACTTGGAAATGCGGCAACTCCTCGTGAGTTTATTCTTGATCATAAGCAGAAAATCTGATGAGCGGCAACTAACACCATGTCCACAACCCAGAGAAGACTGCGCGGACGGAACCTGCTACGAAGGTGCATGCGCAGGAGATTCTGTATACACCACAGACGGAAATTGTGGCAGAAAGCATGGCTACAAGTCATGTGCTGGCGTATGGGGCAATTGTTGCAACGCGACTGGGAGGTGCGGCTCTGGACCTGACTTTTGCGGATACGGCAAGTGTCAATTGGGGGAGTGTTGGTTGAATGGAATTTGCTCCAAGATTTCGTTCTTCCATCACCAAAGCAAAGACGATCTAGCGGTCTGTGTTCCATAGGACCGGATATTACGAGGAACGAATACGGTCATCTAGTTCAACAAGACGATACAAGCGATACAATTCACCACGTCGAGCACGATAACTAAGGCAATGTCCATCAACAGCCTACTATAGCGCGGCGAGACATGTACATGACGGACACCCGTGGGCATAACCTTCGTAGCATATCACATCGGGTTGAAGACCTACGTTATTCTGTCGTATATTATCGATGGTCAGAATAGTCGAGATGGAAATGAGAAGCAGACCTGGCTTGCATGATCAGACTCCTCGCGACGCACTCGTTCATCTGTCGAAGTGAACTGAGTGAACGGAGACGAAGGCATCATGAGACGTGGCAAACTTATTAATTGAGTAAAGAGAACGAGGACGAGAGACGTGAACGCATGTCAAGATCGAATAGATAATATAAGAGATCTCGTTCAATACCATCCTCTCTTTCCCTCCTTGCGCTTCATACCACTTTGACTTGTGGCTTCTGTAATTGTTCTCCAACCTCACGGGAGATCACGCTTCCACACAGCCATAACATGAAATCACAACCTCAACCCCCACTATAAAACAAGTTCAACCTCGACATCTAAATCGAGGTGCTGCGGCAACTACTGCCACCATCCAACCTCCTATTATGACAATCCTCAGTCTTGCTGCTTTTCCTTTATATGGCCATACGTGCTATACTTTCTTCACGTGTCATGGCGAGATGCTCCACCAAGACCGCAGGCAAAGGAAGAAGTGGGCCGCCGGCATGGCGGCGAAGCCGTGACTTCTTTTCTTCTATCCTGTGTTCCGGCCCCCCATCCATCATCCTGTCAAATGACACCACCGTGGAGAATGGCTGCCCACTTGAGACCGTTTTCACTTTGACGAGATCACATGCAAGCTCATAAGCCAAGGGTGAACAGCTGAGGTCTTTACTAGCAAAGTCGAAGTTATTCCTCGGAAGAGATATATCTACACACCGCTGACGTAGTCCTTGACAGTAACGAAGGATTCGGAAGGTTTGATTTCCAACTTCTGCCCTCTTTTCCGCAGTGGTCTGTCGTCTCCGCAGCACCTGATCACAAACTCCGTGTCCGAGTCTGTTTCCCAGACGCCGTCCTCAACGGGCTCATCCGCATAATGCCGGATGTCATCATCAAGATCTCCGTACGTAACACGTTCTCTGCCAAACTCGGGTGCTTTCATACCACTCATGCCACGCCATCCAGTCAGATTCCCATTAGTCGAGTTTGTAGATGGAAGCTTCGATGGACGAGACTTTAGCTCACTAATCGGCAGCTGCGAGACTTCGTGCCATGTGCCAGTGCCGTTGTCTCCTGTGTCTGGACGGAAGCAACTTACCATATCATTCGCATTGCGGAGGTCCTTCATGACTGGAATGGCGGCGGGGAAATCACCATCGAGTTGCCAAAAGAGTCGCCTGATGATGGAAAACGGATATCTACTCCAGGATCGCGTCTAATCTCTTTGAACAAGCAGTAGGGAAGCCCTACCGACTGGCCTGGTTGCGAAGTCTGCATTATCGAAGTAATTAATCTAAAGTTGTGAGATTGGGCTTGTCAACGCACAATTGCCACCAGGAAACAATCAATCTAGTATGCAATCTCAACTTGGGGACAGAATGCTGTAAACGGGAGGAGAGGAGGCGGAATATTATAATAGGACAAGAGAGCCAGTATGTCTCATCTGAGTAGCAGAAATACAACCCATCGTAGATGAAAATCGGGCTACACCTATCCTTGCATATCGTATGCGCCGTCTGTTATCTGATGCCACTTACGCTTTTGGTCCTCTGCAGCGTGTGCTATTTATAGTGCACTATATTTAAACATTAATTTTTCCTCCAATTCTGGACGGTATTCTATTCGAATATTCTTGCGCCTACGGTGGTCGTTAGTTAAATAACTTTAATAAACATTCGCACTACCATATATCAACGTCGGTTGGCTAACCGACTCACTTCACTATTTGCATCATTCCGATACGGGACATGAGACACCGTTATAGCCACCTAGGTGCCCTACCTATTATGAACAGACAAACCGCTGTCGTTTCCAACCCCCGTTAACAAAGGATCGAGCTTACAGCTATCAACTTCCCGTGTACAACAAACGATGAAATTCACAGCTCAATGTAGCTTGTCCAGATACCACACCGCTATCCAAATCACAAGCTCAAGAACGTTGTACCGTCCATACCCACGATTAGGAGCACCTTTCCGCGATGCTAACAACGAGTGTCCCTACGGAGCATATGCACGGCAATGATAATACTTTGCCAGTTATTTCGGAAGCTCGACGATTACAAAAACAATACAATAACACGAAATATCTTGTCAGCGTGGTTGACGGCCATGTGTGCTGGTGGCTAAGGGACGACAGGCGAATAAACTCTATTACTTGCTTTTTGCGAACAACCAATCAGTCTTTGGCATCGCAGTCAACGATAACTAGCCTCGAGAAAAAACAAGTGGTACGATAAACATCGCATAGGCAAGGTAGGATAGGATAGATAGATGAATTTAATAGAAGTATGGATTGAAACTAGGCACCACATTAAGAAAACAAACCGGCTCGTTGAGTGAACGAAGTGAACGAAGACGGCGGCACCGCGAGGGACGAATGTGGTAGTGCACTTGGAAGTCTTAGAACAGTAATATAAGAAGATTGCCCGGACGGTCCTTGCGTGGAATATGCCGATGAACGTCTTTTCCAACACTCATATCTACGTGCTTATCCATATCCAACACTGCACGTCTACAAATCCGCTTGCCTTTCCGAACCTCGTGTATGTCATTCCGACAGGTTCTCAGTCAATTCCTAGGCCAGAAGTCGCTTGGTTCTCCTCTCCTTAACCCCACGGTTAAGAGAAGAGGCTTCAGGGAGCGGCATCCCGGCCCGTCTTCGCACTTTCGCGGAGAGCCTCAATGATCCTGAGCACCTTCGCAGCCTGAGAAGCGGGAACGGGGATGTCTTCCGTATTGCCAGTCTCAAGAGCCTTGGCAAAGCCCTCGAAGAGCTTGGTATACGTCTCTGGCTCCACGGTCGGGTAGACCTTCTCCTCGATCCTGCCGTCATTGGTGACATAGCAGAGGCGGCCATACCGGGACTCGTCCTCCTTGCCAAACTGGGTATCAGTCGCGGCCATGCCTCCCCTGAGCTGATCCTCCTGAGGGTCCAAGAAAGACTTCTGATAGCTGCCCTTCGTGCCGCGGATGCGGAAACGCGGCTGCTTAGTCTCGACACTGACCACGCTGATGCGGACATGCACGAGTAAGCCGGTGTCGGCATACGTCAAGACAGCCGAGATGCTGTCCGGCTGCTCTGACTCATCGCTGCCGCCAGTGACAATCCTGCCCTCGCGCTGGTTCAAGAACTTGGCCGAGACGGAACTCGGCATGCCGAAAAGGACGTAAACTTGATCCAGCAGATGGGTGCCCAGGTCGTAGAGGACGCCACCTGCCTGGTCCATGCCTAGCTGACCCTTCCACGTGGTCGGCTTCTCCAGCCGGAAGCGGTCAAAGTGCGTCTCAAACTCGACGATGCGACCGAGAGTGCCCTCCCGCAGGAGCTTCTGGACGGTCAGGAAGTCCGAGTCCCATCTGCGGTTCTGGTACACACAGAGAACGCTCTTCTTCTCCGTGGCCAACGCGGCAAGCTCCTCAGCCTGAGCAGACGTGGGCACGAAAGGCTTTTCAACCAGCACGTGCTTGCCATTGCGCAGAGCGTCGCGTGCAGTCTCGAAATGCGTGTTGGGAGGCGTGCTGATGATAATGACATCGACCTCTGGGTCCGCGAGCATGGGCCCAATGGATGTGAAGTGCTTCACGGAGGGATGATCATCGGGGGCGGAGTTTCCAGTCGAGGGAGACCGTTGCACAATGGAATGGAGGACAAGAGAGTCGGTCAGGGCGACGAACGGAATCTGGAAGACCTTGGCCGAGAGGCTGGCGAGAAACGTTAGTGATGATACATCTCATCAACGGGATATGATAATGCAGCCATTCCTACCCGTAGCCGACGATGCCGACATTGAACTTGGTTGCGGGCGCCATCGTTTATTTGCGTTGGGGTATTGTGAGTGAAGTTGTATTGTGTCGCTTGTTCTTGTTTCGGAGGAGTAATGTCCCGACATTGCTGAATTGGCTGGGGAATGACGTGTGCGGGGCTGATCGTCGGCATAGCTCCACTCCGACATGCCGCACGGAACACGGAAAGTCGACAGATGTTTTGTATCTATCATACAACCCAAAACATGTTGCTATGCGTGTGAGTCGATGTATAAAATTCCTTATAGTATTAAAACTTGTAGGAATAATAAAATTGCGTGTTTTACTGTGGTAATAAACATCGTTATATAACAAAGTTAGAGGGTGTACGAGCGAGTGTGGATGTTAAAGCTCTACTCGTCTACGCTAGAAACGTCCTTTAGACCCTATACGCCAGCTAGTCTTATTCTCTCAGAACTGCTTTTTTTCTAGATAGCGCGAAAGGCGGTCTGAGCCTGTCACGGGGCTACTGGGTATTCACGGCAGTGGGAGTTAAATAGAGCTTGAGATTGTTAACAAGAAGCAAAAGGTCTGCAGGCCGGAAAGAGCTTATAGGCTGGTGTGACAAGGGCTGTATTCTGGGCTTGGAATAGTAGTTCAATTCAGCTGATAAACTACTTTGGTCTCGAAGGCCTTGTTGATCCTCTCAACCTCCAGGGGAAGGCTGGGTTTCAAGGCCTTCTTATGCCAAAGAGAAACGGTACGTACTGGAGTACGTACCGGTCCTTGTCGCCTGAGGCTCCAAGGCATTTATCTAGCGACCTGTATACATGTGGATCTTTCTGAATGCCTTCATCCATTCTCCTTCTTCCTTCTGGCGCCGGCCTTTGCCCGGGCGCTCTGCTTCTGCTTGGTTGGCTGTGATTGCTCCTGTGATGATAAGGTGGCTTTGCGATGATGTTTAGCGCCGTCAGCAGTTCTGGGGTTGGCTCGTTTAGCCTGGTGGCGTTGAGGGGTTCGGGTAAGCCGTGCCTATTAGCCGAATAGTCTGGCCGAGGCAAGGCTGGCATTGTGTGACGAGGTTGGGTTGATGTCAAGCATTGAGGCTCTATTGAACTTCAAACACAGGAGTGTGGGCAGTGTCCGTGTGACAGGAGCACTATACCATGAAAGGAATGAACTAAATCTATGAGCTTCTGGTGCATTTCATGATGACAAACTAGTCTAGAAGGAATGTTGAACAAGTTAAAGAATCCCAGAATACAGTGGCAAACCCTTTGTATTCTATAAGAGGTACAGAATAGTTGACACAGGTGCTGGCCAAAAGAATCGATAAGGTTCTAAGAAAAGAGAAGGGAAGAAAAGAACGCTCTCTGGACAGTCTGGCCGGCTGTCCTAAAGAAGAGACGTGCGCACGCACAGGCTAATGTTGCCTGCCGCGAGAGTAGAGTACTCGCCTGGCAAGATTGCCAGGCATTTCAGCCGCGGGCACTAGCCTCATAACAATTAGAAAGAATTTTAATAATTTTAAGAAGGAATTTTTTATAAAGTTTTTAAAAACGTATTATATCGTTCTTGAAATAAGCGATTATGTTTATTAAAGAGATTTCCTTTCATGAAACTATTACTAGGACTATTTCACCCCGTACTATTTCCCTTTATTTCGTTCTGTTGAAATTGAAATAACAATTTATAATTAAAAAAGCGAAAGGCTATTTGTCACACGGACATTCGACAA